TTGGCTTAATTCCATCTTTAGAAATAACATGTCCCAAGAATTTAATTTCACTACAAAAAAATTGACATTTATCTAAATTCACTTTAACATTATAACTTTGTAAACGTTCTAAAACCTTACTCACTTGCTCGTAGCAATCAATAACACTATTACCTTTTACAACCACATCGTCAATAAAACATTTTACATTCTTTAACCCTACTAAAATCTGATCCATTACACTTTGAAAAACAGAAGGTCCACTAGAAACTCCAAATTGTAGTCTGGTCGGTTGGAATAATCCCAGATGTGTATTTATTGTCATATACTCACACGAAGACTCGTCTAATAATAATTGTTGGTATGCTCCCGATAAATCTAAAACACAAAAATTACAACCCCCTGACAGTTCTGTGAATAGTTCATCAGGTATCGGCAAAGGATAGTGTTCTGTATCCAGCACTTGATTTAACGTCACCTTGTAATCAACACATACACGTAGCTTTCTATCATTTTTCTGTGCCAATACAATTGGACTAGCCCACTGGCTGTGCTTAACTTTTTTTAATATTCCAGCTTTCTCCAAACTCAATAATTCTCTCTCCACTTCTTCCTTCTTTGAATATGGAATTGAGTAAGGCTTATGAAATATAGGCTTAGCTCCTCCTTTAAGTTTGAGACTGGCTTTAATGTTCAAAATGTGGGATGATCTGTCCTTTTCAAAAACTTTGTAAAATTTTGTCTTAATTTTTTTTATAAGTGCTTCTTCATTGGATTCATCTGTTTTGATTAGCTGTAATTTAAACTGATTTTGCCATTTAGGAAATAATATTTTTAACCAATTTCTCCCAACTAATGGTGCAAAATATTTATCACAATCAATAACAATCAGATATAATTCTTTTTTTGTATTTTTTTCCTTAATCTTAATTGTCCCTAAAACCTGCAACATTTCACCCGAAACTGATTTAAGTTTATAATTACAAGAACGTAGTTTATAATTAGGCAAAAATTTTTCAAAATCCTTTTTGTGCACTACTGACTTACACGCACCTGTGTCAATTTGCATCTGTATTTTTTTGCCACTATCTAGTCATAATGATATAAAAGCTCCTTGTTCTCCCTGTTCATTTATTTCATTTATATTCATAATACTTCCTAGAATTACTTCCTCTTGTTCTGGTTGACTAATTATACTTTCTTCATTTTGATCTGACAATACCTTGACCCTATTTGCCTGTTTTATTTTTGATTTACATTTTGCAGCAATATGTCCTTGTTTCTGACATATGTAGCATTTCCAGGTTTTTTTAAAACATTTTTCTTGATCATGTGCACCACCACATCGACTACATTCCAAACGATGGTTATTCCTTTTGTTAACTAACAATATATTAGTTTCTACATGCATGTTTTTTGTTTCCACATCTGCACTCTCGAAAGCAGTCGCCATTTTAACCGCGTTTTCGAATGATAAGGCATCCCCTTCGGTTAATAGCTTTTTTACCAGTTGTTGGTTTGTTAGGCCGCATACAATCTTATCTCTTAAAGCCTCATTCAAAAACGTGCCGAAGTTGCACTGTGAGGCCTTTCCTTTTATCTCCACTACAAAATCATTAATCGTCTGATTCTCTTTTTGTCTGCAATTATAAAATTCATATCTGCCCGCAATAGACGATTTCTTTATCGTAAAATGTGTCGATAATGTGTCAATTAATTGGGCATATGTTTTTTTTGATGGTACCTCAGGCGAAACTAAATTTCTTAACACATTATAAGATTCCGGTCCAATTAATGTTATGAATAACGGTACCTTTTTGTCCTCGGCTATAGCGTTCACTAAAAAAAACTGCTCCATACGATCTATGTAGCCGGCAAAATCCGTTTGAGGATTATATGGTTCGATATTACCGATCATTATCGTCGCCAATTTTATGTTTCCAAATAATCACACTTATTACTGTAATATGTATTTATTCACTTCTTAATTATTACGTTACAATTTTCAAAGTGCCATCCACAGACTAATCATATTGCCACGGAGAGTCACAGACTCAATATATAACAATCATCAAGCTAAAAAGATGGTGCTTATTATAGAACAATAGAACAAGTTATAGAACAAGCTAACACATGCTAGGTGGACCTCTTCAATAATAGTTATTTTTAACTATTATTAGGTAAATTTTGCTTTCATAATTATATACTAACTAATATTTACGTTATAGAAAAATTCCAAGACGAATTCAAGCCATCAAACTTCGTATTCCCTATTACCAAAGGATCGTTTTTCACTAACAAACATGAAGTATTATCATTATATTATTAAATAAATACAACTCCGAAGTGTTTCATTCCCGTTTAGCAATAATAGATTCAATGGAATAGGTACTTAAAGGTTTGTATTACTCAGTTGAATTCTGGGATCGTAATGGTCGCTCGTGTGTACCAACAAAGCTGGCCACTTTATTGCACACAAACTGCATACAAATGGGAGCGCTAATAACACTGGACAAAATTTACAACCGAATCGCCAAATAGTATTCTCGTGGACACTATTTTCCGGGTCGCTTGTTACCGCCCAGTGAACTGTTTGTGTTTGCGGTTTGATTTTCGCCCCCATTGTCGTTGTAATTACAGCATCGGATTAAATGTTATTTTCAATTTGAAACGATTGGACGTCTCGTAAATGAATTGTACGTAAATAGAATGGGTTCATACTGTTCTTTTCTTTATGACTTTAACCTCGGTTCGGGTTTACACGTACCTATTTTGAACAAAAAAAAGTTCAAACGTTTGAAAAACGAAACGAAAAACATTCAAACGGATATTATCTATAATCTAGTCTAGGCCTTTATGTAGTCTTAATTTGTATATTCGGAACATTTAAAACTTAATGAAATAATGGCATGTTCCATACAAATTGCGACTTTGAGAAGAATCATATGTGATCATAATCTGTAACTTATATAAATTTAAAAATACCAAGCCTTATGACTATAGTCGGGTTTTTCTTTTTAAATAATTTTTTAATTTTATTAATTTTTGGATGTATGTAAGCAAAATCATAAGCAAGAGCTACCAATATATGTATATATATTTGAAATATGCTAATTATGCTCTTTTATATGATACCCTCATGAATTTATTAGTTATAACAGGATTTATAACTCCGAAAAACTGTAATTGCAAAAATAAATCTTATTACTATCAATCAAAGTTTACTTTTAATTGCTCTTTGTACCGAAGCTAATCCAAGCCGAGATAAATAGTCACAGCGGAAGCTGTGTCTCGTTCTTTTATCTTGCCATAATAAAAAAATATTGTTGATTAAAATTTTCAACCAGAGACTTAGTGCAAACATTTCTATTATAATGTAAGCTATTATAATCACATTAATTTCTTTATACAATAATCCATATCTATATAACTAAAAATGAATTTCCATTCGTTAGTCTCGCTAAAACTCGAGAACGACTGAACCAATTTGACAAATTTTAGTCTTGAAATATTCGTTGATGTCCTGAAGGTTTAAAAGATGACAAAATATGACAACATTGCGAGTATAATACTAAAAACGACTATTTGATTTCTCATACAAACTGTTATAAAATCCACTGGAAAATATCTTATTCGAGCAAATAAACAAAATAATAATTTATTTTTATTATATTAACATAGCTTTTAGGGTTCCGCACCCAAAGGATAAAATGGGGAAAAAAATAAACGTGGTTTTTTGCTCTTTTGCCAGTACAGAATCATTTGTGCACGACTTCTACTCGCTCTACTGATTTTTTTATATTGATATTTAATATTTTTAGTGATACCTAATAAAACATATCAATATTTATTTTTTTAAATAGAATCGACTTCAATCTTTTAAAAAATCAGGAATAATACTTATCATTTCTTATTTTTATGGTTCCGTTCCCAAAGGGTAAAACGGGAAACCTATTAAAAATATTTTAACCGTGAAAGTTTTTTTTCACAGAAAATGTATTTCTATTGCGCTTGTAACAACAAATACTAATTCATTAAACAATTTTTTTAAGATCGGTGCCAGCCTTATCATTAGTGAGAGTGGGGCGGGATAGATTACCGATATCGACAGAGTGTGCAATTTCATGAGTAAACACATGTGAATCTCCATACATTTTATAATGCGTGCGATTCGTGCGATATCGCTCATCGATATTGAATTGCATCGAAACCAGCCATGAGTCTAAGCCTAAGACGCTTTTTAATGATACCTCATTTGCCCAATTACGATGAGTAGTTTCGAAGTTATAAGGAAAAAGATGAACATTCTTACATACATATATATACCGACTTTTCACCTCGCCATATTAGTGTAAAAAAGAACCAGTTTAGCAAAAAAGACAAGCGCGCAGTGCCGTGGAAACAAATATAATAAATTCACTTAATCTAATCAGCAATTTTTCATTGCGTGGAACGGAACATATGGTGATACCAGAATAATCCCCAGTACCTCCTAAACGAAACAGTTAAATATCTGTGAATGTGAATTAACGGTGGAATAATAACAATAATTTTTTTTTTTTTCTACTTTTACACCATCTCGCGTATAGCATATATATTAACAACAACTTTATGTAGATGACAGGAGTATAAACTAGGTAGAACAAGAAAGACAATGAGAGTTTATAATTTGTAAATATTAAATTGAGATTATGACAGCTAAAGTCGAAATAATTGAAAAGCTTCTCTAAAAATAATGCATTGAAATCAAAACTTTTTATAGTTTGTCTTGTAAATATGGAAATAAGTCAAAATGTAATTGAAAATGGGCACTTTTTACATTTACTTTTTATTAAATAAGTAAAAAATAAGCTACATATGAATATATCACATCTCTAGAAGCGTTAGTAAAGTTTCCTCAATATAGTCAAAGTTTACTTCTGTTTGGGCAGCGTCGACGGTCGCCGTCCGAAATTAAACGCTACAGCTAACAACACTTCAAACGTCAGTTTTTAAATTTTGACAACGGTTTCGTTTTTGTTGTTTTCCGTCTGCTTTCAGTTCAGCAGTTTATTTACTATGTTCGATTACGTTAGTCGTTATTGTAAAGCAAAAAGAATGTAACGTTTGAATATTTGTCAATTAAGAAACTGTTTAATTATCTGAAAAGTAATTGTAGTGTATTAAAATACATAATATTAAATAGTGTTTCGTGTTTATAAGCTGTATTAATAGTAGTTTGCCCTCAGTTTGCCTAAAGGCTATCGACAACGCCATGGAAACAAGAATTCCATCACCAGCGCGCTCTCTTGGCGCTGCTGCATCTCCCCGTCGACACCGTTCACGAAAAACACGAAGTGTAGGCTCACCTGCTCGATCAGCAGCATCTGGCAGATTGTCGTCTGTTATTCAATTTCATGATAAGAATAAGGACTCGTTTCATCTATCTCCGATTCCCACCAGACGATCTGTGTTAAATGATGACACTGATATTGAAGAACCAAGAAGTAAGTATTGAGTTTGTGAAGAAATATTAAGTTTTAACAAAATGTCACACATGGATCAACTTGGACAAAATGGACAAGCAAAAAGATACTGTTTATGCACTTTAATAGCAGTTTATTGAATAAGTTGCATTTGAGATAAGGATTATTTATCCCTTTTTCAAAATTTGAAAAAAAAATTACATGCTTATTCATGGTATTATTTTTTTTATAATAAAAGAATAAAATAAGGTGAAAGGCTTAGAAAAGGAGATTTTGTTTATTTGCTTGACATAGTTTTTTAAAGTATAACTGGATATAAAATTCTTTCACTTATGTGAAGCTACATAATGCTTGTCTTCCGAGTATAGGCTGTAACTTACACAGGCAAAGCTGCAGGGGAACAGATAGTTGAATAGAAATTGGCTCACAATTCAAGAAGAAATTGATAATTACTTACATTAAAAATATACATGCCCATTGAACATAGAAAATCCTCCTACCGTATTTTAAATGAATGCAAAATAAGCAATCTTTTGTTTTTATGCTCATATAAACATATAATAAAGTTATTATGGTGATATCTGATCAAAAGCATATTTTGTTTGATTATAAAAGAAAAATTACTGATTCAAATTTGATGAAATTTATATGGGACCAGCTCAGTCCATCAAGCTATGAACTAAAAATTATAATAATTATTTAAATAAGTTTACATCAATTTATTTTTGCTTACCTTTGATTTTATTTCTGATATCTATTATATTCAATAGTGACTAGTTTATAATATAAATAGTTATGAAGTTATAAATAGTTATGGTACAATTGTGTTATTTAATTAAACACATCCTTCATTCAATTTAATCACTTATATTGTCACTTAGATTTTCCATAAGAAGTTTTGTCTTTTAGTTCTATACCATATTTTGTACCCAAGAAAATAATTGAACCAAATATATTCTGCCGAATACAAATAGTGAAAAAGATGCCGAATACTGAATATCAAATGAATATTCAGCGCATCTCTAAAAATTATCATCGATAATTGGGATAACAACAAACTTTTGTTTGTGTATGTGATGTAGCAAGCCCCCACTGCTCAACTTTAATTCCTGTTATCTAAGCAAATTCTTGTTAAATTTAAGTAAAAAAAAATGTGTCTAATATTTTACTATTATCTGTCATAGTATTAGTTGTCATCCCTATTATAGCGATAATTATCTTGTTAAATCATCATCAACATTTTAACGTGCCTACTGAAAGTTCTCAGACCTTCTTTATGGATAGTGAAGGAGAATAGGCCATTATTCTCCACATTGGCCTAATGTTGATTGGAGGATATTAACTACTGCAAATGCAGCCGGGACCAACGGCTTATTTTGTTTATATATGATTTTTATTATTCAAAACAGCAAAAATTCAAGTTTATGCAGTTATGAATGCCTTACTGTATTTAAAAACTTGTTGCCAATAACTATGGATAATTATGAGATATTTATCAAAAAAAATATCTTGCTAATTACAAACCCTGCTCTAGCTACTTAAAACCTTATTCAAAGGCCTAATATGATTGTTTTTTTATTCTAAATTCACATGATTGTAAATATATTATGATTTTTAGTATGTAAACTGGCACAGAATCACTGACGAGAACTATAGAATTATAAATTTAAAATTAAAAAAATATTACAAAATTACTATTACCAATTGAACAGATAATAAGTGCTAGTGTGTTATCATTGTCATTTTATCATGGCCTACCTGTTTATTACTTTCAATAAATAAGATCTAGTGTTTTTCTTTAACATTTTTCTAAACATCTGTAATAATATTATCAGTAATTGTGATCATCACATTACAGGAAGAAGCTGGTGGAAAAAACTTAGTAATAATTCCAGAGATGTCATGGAGGTCTTAAATGAAAATAAAGTATTGGAAACAAATGAGGCAGTTGAGGAATACATTGATATTGAAGTATTAAGGTTTGTTAATTTTTATTTTAATATAATCTCGAATTATTGTTTGGTTAAATAACTAATGTAATTAATTTTATTTTCTAGTCAGGAGCAGAAAAACTATATAATGGATCTTCCAGAAAGTAGTGACAGTGAATCAATCAGCAGCATAGTGATACCTCAACGAAAACTCTTCACACAAAAGGAAAACCTACCACAAAAGAAATTTGGACAACTCATTGAAACGAGAGAGACATTAGCAAAACTACACAAGACAACAAACAGCGATAAAACATTAAATGTGGCCCCAAGAAACTTATTTAGCCAAGCACCAAAGACGAAGTCTAAACCAGTCTTCCCTGCAGCATTACTGAATATATCTCCAAACAAAACTGCAAATAAGACAAAAGAAACTACAGTTACAGAAGTCAGGGGACAAGTTCGTACTCTATTTGGTAATAAAGGAGGTACTAAGCGCAAGAATATGTTTGCTGACTTCATTGTATCTGACAGTGATGAAGACATTTCAGAAATTCAACCAAAAGTGTTTGGTTTTCAAAGGAAAGATAAACCACAACAAGAACCTTCAACTGCATATAAAAGAGATACATCACCAACTTCGAGTATCACCATAGAAAATGAAATGGAAGATTGGAAACTTTTGCCTTCATCTACAATGGTTGAAAATCAATTAGAAGAAATGATGACAACTGGTAAAACACCATTGAAAAGAGCAAAATTAAGCCATTTAAAAAGAGCACGATTAAGCAAAGAAGGCGATGAAGAAATCCCAAGACTAAACGGAGAAAATGGCGGCAAAAACTTAGAGATAAATGAAGAAAATGATGATAAAAACCTAGAAGTGAATGAAGAAAATAATGAAGAAGATCTAGAGACAAATGAAGAAAATAGTGAAAAGAACCAAAAGGTAATTGAAGAAAATGATAAAGAAAATTCAATAGTAAATGAAGAATTCTCAGTATTAACTGACGAAGATAACCTAGAAACTAATAAAGAAAACGATGAAAAAAACCTTAGTGTTCAAGAATGTCTAGAAGTAAATGACGGAGAAAACCTAAAAGTAAATGAGGTAAACGGTGAAGTAAGTCGCGAAGTAAATGATGAAGAAAACCTACAGACAGACGAAGAAAATGAACAAAATCTAGAAGGAAATAATAGAGATAATCTAGATATAAATGAAGAAAATGGTGAAGAAAGTCCAAAAGACAATGAAGAAAACCGCGAAGTAAATGACGAAGAAAACCTAGAGATAGATGAAGAAAACCTAGAAGTCATTGAAGAAAACTTAGAAGTAAACGAAGAAAACATAGTAGTTTATAAAGAAAATGACGTCGAAAACCTAGAGATGAATAAAGAAAATGATAAAGAATATCTAACAGTAGATAAAGAAAACCTAGAAGTAAATGAGGAAAATGACGGAGAAAACTTAGGAATAACTGAAGACAATGATGAAGGTCACCAAGAAGAAAATGATAACGAAAATAGCGAACAAAATGAAGAAAGTGACGATGAAAATCAAGAAGCGAATGAAACAATCAATGACAATGTCCTAGAAGTAAATAACGCAGAAAATTTAGAGACAAATGAGGAAAATCCAAACTCAAATAACATAAACTTAGAAATAAATGAAGAAAATGACATAGAAAACCTAGAGATAAATGAAGAATATGAAGAAGAGCACAAAAAAGAAAATGATGACGAAAACCAAGAACAAAATGAAGAAAGTGATGATGAAAGTCAAGAAGTGAATGTTGAAAGCGATAGAGAAAATCAAGAAGTAAATGAAGTAAGTCAATTAGATATTCAAGAAGAGCACGAAGAAAGTGACATTGACGCCCTACAATATGAAGAAAGTGATGTTGACGTTCAAGATGAACAAGAACAAAGTGACAAGGAAGAAATAGAGGAACAAAATGAAGTAACACAACAAGAAAGTGAAAGAGAAGAGTCTGACGAAAGAAACCAAGAGACACGAGAAGAAAGCGATAGAGATTTCGATGAGGATGATCAAGAACAAGTGGAAACTCAGGAAATGGCTTCAAATAATAGCTCTGCGGAAATCGAGGACACCAATGAGAACGAAGTACAAATTGACGATGGCGACAATGAACAAATTGTCGATGAAAACGTAGAAGAAAATGGTACTCCAAATGTTTCACATGACACAACAGGCCGACATAGAAAGAAGGAACATTCTAAAGAGAACTCGCCCCAAGTTATTCTTTACGATCAAACAAGACAAATGGAATCTTTTATGCAAAAAGGTCGCAATACAAGCTTAAGACGAACTAGTTTAATGAAAAGCATGAATGTTAGGGCTAGTCTAGCACCACCTAATGAAAGCATCGCACTTTCAGATGGAACTAGAAACTCTAGCGCCGAAGGTTCGGGCTGGGATTCCCATAGAACCACAAGAAAAACGTTACGACAAACATTTGGTAAAGATTTCAGTCCTAGAAAGTCATTACGTACTCTTGTTATAGAAAAATCTGCTAAACGACAAACAGCTTTCGCTGATGTTACCTCTATATCATCGAAAGTACCATTAGGTAATTCTACAGAACTACCGGAAGCTCCAAATTTACAAGATGAACTTGCAACTGAAGCCAATCATGATATTTCGAAGAGAACACGACAGACTACATTAGAATTATATTTGCAGAAAATCAAAACCCAAAATTTAGAAAGAAAAATGAAAATGGTAAGTTATTACGAAATCGTTTTCTATTACTTTAAATATGTATATTTTTTGTAATCAATAGGTATGTCTGTCTGGTAAGGAAGATTTAAAAAATTATCTGAGTCAAGTTTGAAAACTGTCATATTTTCAAAATAAATTTTTCATGAGTTCATTTTACGATGGATTTGTGTGTTATATTTATAATATTGAAATGTTTGCGGTTTTGATGAATAAGAATAACTTTATTTAAAAAAAATATATTTTCTTAAATAACTAGTTGTATAATCATAGCCAAATTCATATTAGATGCAGATAATTAATAAAACCAACTATTGTATTACAGGAGGAAAATGTAAGAAATACACTTAAAGCACCATCAAAAGACATTTTAAATCCATTCAAAGTACCTTCGAAATCCATGTTTTCTGCGAAGAAAACAAATATGAAACAAGTTCAGAATAAATCAAAACCCAAAACAATAAAATCAACTCTTATAAATTTTGCCGATTTACCCCCGGAAATGATAGAAGACATGAAATATAAACCTCCTAAGCGTTACCAGCCCAGCAACGCATCTTGGATCACCAAACGTTTATATAAATTCTTCGAAACAAAACTAGAGCCAAAGTAAGTTACTGAAATATTTTTTGTATCATAACCAGTTTTCTTTAAGCCCAACCCAATTAACATTACGAAAGTAGCTGAAAACTAGTTTCATTGCTTCAATCGCTAACAGTTTCCACGTTCGTAATGCCTGCATAAGTTTCACGACACTAAAGTAGTCTCTCGATGCGCATTTATTTGATGAAACTAGTTTCACGCAACTATTTACATGGCGAAATTAGTCGCGACACCATCTACATATACGAGGGTCAAACTGAAAGTTCTTAGAAAATCAAAAACTGATTACATTAGCCAGTTATTAGTTTTATTATATCTTTTCAAAATATTGTCCATTCACGTCAATACACCGCTGCATGCGATGGAACCACTGGGAAAAGCACTTTGCCCACTCGTCCTTAGGGGTCTCTTCAATGGCATCGCGATACGCAGCCACCGCTTCTTCAGCATTCATAAACCGCTTTCCTTTAAGTTTTTCTTTAATTTTTGGAAATAAATAAAAATCACAAGGCGCGAGGTCGGGGCTATACGGCGGGTGACCCAGTAATTCAACGTTTGATGTCGCCAAATAGTCGATCGTTCGCTTGGCGGTGTGCGACGAGGCGTTGTCGTGGTGAAGGAGGATCCTACTGCGAGGTCGTTTCTCTCGAACTTTTTCCAAGACAAGTGGCAAACAATTGGTAGTGTACCATTCTGCAGAAACTGTTTTTTGATCCTCTAACACAATTGTTACAAAATGACCTATCCTTCCAAAGAACGAGGCCACCATTTTTTTTCCCGCACTTCGATCTCTCTTCACTTTAGTTGGCAACTCCTCGAAAGGAAACACCCACTGAGCAGATTGTCTTTTGGTTTTAGGATCATAACAGTAAATCCAGCTTTCGTCACCTGTTAGTATGTCGAACACAGCATTTGAGTCACCTCCGTTAAATCTTTCAATCATTTTACGACACCAATCCACACGATGGAGTTTTTGAGCCTCAGTCAAATTATGAGGTATCCACCGGGCGCAAAGCTTCCTGACCGCTAAATGTTCGTGGAGGATTTTGTGCACTTGACTCATACCGATGCCTAAGCTTGTCCGAATCTGTTGATAGGTCACTCTTTTGTCAGTCTCTATCATACGCCGCACAACACAGATGTTATCTTCAGTCGTCGCCGTAGAAGGCCGTCCCTCACGTAAATCATCAGTGAGATTAGTGCGACCACGTTTAAACTCATTAAACCAGTTGTAAACAGTCGCACGAGATGGGGCTTCATCGTGAAAGGCCAATCGTAGTCTATCATAACTTTCTTGTTGACTTAAATGACATCGAAAGTCATAAAAAATAATTGCACGAAAATTTTCTCGTGTTAAATTCATGATGACGTGACACAGACAATTTTCAATTTGCCGCCAAATCGTAAAACAAATGACAAATGAATGAAATATATACTCAGTAATATTGGCAAAGAGTTATATTTTCAAATTTTAGAATTATTTTTTTATTATATTGTTTATAAGTGGCCAGTTCTAAGAACTTTCAGTTTGACCCTCGTAGTAAAGCTTCGATGTTGATAGAGGCTGCGTCTCGGAGATCTATTAATTGCACGCCATCACGAAACTAGTTTCACATGCGCCGAATTTAAGTAATGTAAAATAAAGTCATCAAGATGAATAAAAAATAGACCAAATATAACTATTTCTATTACCCGATAGAAGCGTGTTTAAAAACGTGGTGTACACAAGCTTTCAATTGTATCCTACTATACTTTCATTTACCCTCCAATCCGCATTGGCCAGCGTGGAGGGTCATGGCCCATCCTCCTTAACTATCCATAAGGAAGGCCTGAGCCCCTGCAGTGGGGACGTAAAAGGGCTGACAATGATGATGATGAGATAACCCATCTAAACTTTTTTATTGCATCATTCATCGCAACAGGTATGATTACAAAGCTAGAGTCCGTGCTGAGAAACTAGTGGAGACGTTGTATCAGTTCGCTAAGGAGTTGAGGCGCGTGGCGGTGGCGCCCGCCGCCGCCGTGGACGCGCTCAAGCACGAGATGGCGCGCCTGTTGATTGTGGACACGCACTACGAGTTCTACCAGTTCTTCCACGACTACATGCCCAGGGAGGTCAGAGTGAAAGTGAGTGAATATATTATGTATATATAGGTCTGCGTCCTTCAAGTGAAAGAAATATTCGAAAAATATGAACCATTTCAGTTAAAAAATATTTAAAAAAAATAGATACATTTTATGATACTAATTTGTAAAATATTACGATTTGAATACTTGAAAAAATTAGGGAAAACATATTACAAAATTTTGCTAATATCTGGCATTAAATTAGTTACATAAAATGTAACAACTTTCATTATAACCGCTATAAGCACAAACGCACAAATAACAAAGATATTAACTATATGACGTCACACGCCTTGAATTTGTAGAAAGCAATTCGGCCGACTAGCAGCCGTACCAAAAACACCGAAACTATTAATCGCAGACATGCCGTAACTTCTACATCATTTCTCAGATATTAATGGACTATTTATTTATAAAATAAGAAAAAGTCGTCAACTAGCCTATTATCATATTGTTCAATTTTATTACTGACAAATATTACTGATATATATTTCAGTATAGTACTGATAAATATTTTTACCACGAAAAATTTGTGGCTCCGAGTACCATCGGAGTCTTGGGTATAGTGTATTTTTTAAGCATTTTTCATTACATATAATATATTCTGTGTCCTAGCTTAATTAGTACAATACACCATGTAAGCGGCCGCGTCGCGCAAATTAAAATATATTACCTCCATACGAAAAAAAAACTTTTCGTAATTGAAGAAAATCTAGATAGCAAAATGTTTTCATGTAGTAAAAAAAACTTGAATGTATCCCAATCAAAAAACTGTACTGTATATTTGCATTTTTGCCACGAACTCTCTTAGTTTACTACTACTGTACATGATATTATATGGATCATTTTTTTTTTCAGGTGGTACCTGATGTTGTGAATAAAATTCCTCTACCCCGACACGGGATATTCTCTGAAATCCTGCGTGGGCACACTGTCCATGAATAATCTATGATATATTAATTTGTAAGGACTATCTGAACTATGTATGTAATAAAATTATTGTTTTTTTTTTTATACGGGTTTGATTGTTATACTTGTCGCAATCCTGAAATGTTCTCTACATCTTTATTGCAATGCTTCTGTAGCTAAAAAAATTAATGAAATCCAATCCAAAACGAACAGCGGTAGAAAAGTAAAAACTAACTTTATATTTTATAAAACATGTCTTTATTTATATAGTGGCACTTACAGTGGTAAAAAAAAGCTTTTTCCCTTGATTCATTCTTACTTCTTTTAGTTGTGGACGAAAATAGTCTGAAGAAACGTCACAAGATAACTCAAGAATTTATTGCTACGTCAACACATAATATATATTTAGGGACGCGGAACCTATGAAATGTACCGATTTGAAAACTATTATTTCTTACAAATATTTAATTCTTAAAGTAGTCAATTACACCTTCAACTTAAATAAAAGAATCTTCCTAAATCTTTAACATTCGGTCATTTCTTAAGAATTACGATGATGCGGTGTCTGGTTTCTGAACTGTTGTGATACCTGACTCATCAACGTTCCATATACGATACTTGTAGGTCAAGAGAAAGAACAGAATGCCGTTTCATAAAAAGGATTTTTATTATTCTATCCCCAAGGGGATAAAATAGGGGATGAATATTTTAATGAAATTTTGACAATTTTATAAATATTCGTTAGAAATGCTGCTCAAAGTAACTTTACCACGCGGACGAAGTCGCGGGCAAAAGGTAGTATCTATCAGTAGGCACTGGTAGGCAAAAAGGCCACCAACACGGCGCTGGACTTGGCATATAATCTAAGTTATATCCTATCCTATTAATATTATAAAGGCGAAAGTTTGTAAGTATGGATGTATGGATGTTTGTTACTCTTTCACGAAAAAACTACTGGACGGATTTGGATAAAACTTTACAGCAATATAGGTTATACATCAGAATAACACATAGGGTACTTTTTACTGGGAAAACTTCTCACTCCCACGGGATACCGACTTCCACGCGGACGAAGTCGCGGGCGTCCACTAGTTTTTAGTATAAATATGCTGAAAAAATAATTCCACATGCATACTAAATAAAACAATATGTTCCGGGGTCTAGGAATTGTTTATTTCGAATATAGGATACAAATGTAAACTTTAATTACAATGGAGCACCATACACAAAACTGTATTGCAATTATATTATTAGTTACATATAAATAGTTACAAGAGTACAGTGCACGCGCAAATTCACAATCTTTTTTTTTATCAAAAGGAACTTCTGAGGAAACACATCAAGTTTTAGTTATCTATAATTTAGTACTGATTTGAATAGTTATGGAAAATCAATCCCTTTCTTCGCCTTTTTTCCAAGTGATGACTACACTTGAAAATAGGCGAAGGTTTATATAGCACTCAAAACCGAAACTACAACTGATTTTATAAGTTTTTGCAACGTGTGTTAATTTCAAAACCAATTGTGAGAATTTGGCGTTTAATGTGTGCTGATGAAATATTTACTTTCATAAATGAATTATCATATAGTATGACTTAAAAAGTGTGGATACGCCTCCAATCAAACTACCCACCTTCAATGCAATATAATTCCAATTTTAGGCCGATTCTTCAAACGTACATGTATTTGAAAAAATCTCAAACTAAATAACTCATCAATATTAATCAACAAAGTAAATCATCGATTTTATGTTACAATTAATGAAGTCGTCAAACATTTTTTTATAGACGTAAACTTGCACGCGCCTGTATATATTTCAACTAAATACAAAAAATACATCTCACTTACAGGGCTTACCATTACTATGTATAAGAGGATTAAAGGCAATATTAAGTCTTAATATAATTCATATAATTGGGGCACGGCATTGTTTTTCTAAATGTTATTACCCGGTAAAATACATGGTGCCATACTAAGACAGTACGAACCGATAAATATAGTTAAATATTACAATAAATATAATATTTGCATCTTACAAATTAGTTAAACTTAATTGCCTAAAAATTTACTAAGCAAAAAACAGTTTTTAATATTGCAAAGCAGCGTATCAGAACCTTATTACGAATCAATAATTTTTAATAGAATTTTAATATTGTGGGAATTCAATTACATTGCAAAAAGTATATTTTTTCTATATAACATAATTAATAATGAGCGAAGTAATACGTTCTCTTAAATAATGAATATTAGTAATTATAGACTGTTTATTTATTTTTAAGTCGAAATTTGGGTAATTTAAAATGTATTTATAAAATTACTGAACAAAGAGAAATTGTGACATTTTTGTGACAAAATTCAACATTCTATTGCACATTTACAAAACGGTTATATGGCAATTTAAAATATCTTCGAACTTTTACAACTATCTAATTTGTTATATTAAACTAGTGTTGTCTTTTAAAAGTTAAGAGACTAGCTCAACACAATAGAAAAAGAACTAACGAGTCTTTAAAAAATCGCCGAATAATGATAAATTTTCTATAATTTGTCGTAAATATAAATTGGCACGACAAAATCACTAGTTTGAAACTTTCTCTAGTCTAGCACAATAATAGCTAAAAATAAATTATAAAAAAAGAATTAATATCGCAAACTTTTTGCTCTACAGAGATCGTAACAGAACTCAATAGAACTCTTGATTACAAGAATAATTACACAATTTAGAATAAAATTTTATAATTAACATCATTTGTTTAATAATTGAAAGTACACATTGAAGTTGGAACCGTTCTTATCACAAGCACAGGCAGACTCACGCTGCAATACGAGTGTGGACAGTAAATGAAAATAAATACATTATACTTTTTTCTGGATAATCACACTTTTATGCTTATTATTATATTGCTTAAATGAATTATAAATAATCAAATATTTTATACTCGTTGTCACGTGACCGCAAACAACGCGTGACGTAACATCCCTCTTATTCATATCAGAACTTAGAGAATTGAACCTTATGTATAATAGAACGACATTAGTTACAGAGGGCCGTAACTTCATAGTGACGCCATGACAAAAATTGGCGTTTTCGTGGAAAAATTGAAAGCTAAATTAATTTTTTAAACTTGTTAAACAAATATTCGTTTTTATCAATGATTTTTTTATATACATTTCATATCTATAAAATTAAAATATAAAAAAAAGTTGTCTACACCCCTATTGTATACGTAAAAACTCTACATTGTCTTATCCATACTTTAATGTCGTTCTTCTCGCAAACGAACGAAATGCATAATTTCAAGGTTATAAATGCATGTCTACAGTCTCAAATTATTACAAGACCATACTTATAAGTACAAACAAAAGCTCTAAAGTATACTCTAAAGTATCTCTAAAGGCAGTATACATTTTGTAAAATTAAAGCAGTCTAAAAGAAATTAAATCTATGTCTTTATTTTATTAACATAACAGGGTCATCCCTTCGTCCCCTTTAAATCAGAAATTTGAGAAAAAATAGCAGATAATATAAAAATATTACCTATATGTTCTTTTTTTAAGTATTTATTACGAAAACGTTGAATGTGCCTTCCTAGTCAAAATTAGTTCTCCCATTGCTAATCCTTAAATTTTCACTGAGACATTCACCTTTTAAAGAAGCCATTTTGAACTGCTACATACATCTATTCATCGAATATACATCATTAATGTTATAAAACTATCACACACATTCACATTCCAAAGGTTTGATGACCTAGAAAATAAATAAAACTAAATGTACATTATTTTTTACATTACATACAAATATGCATAAAAAGTTGTAAAATTAAGTTATTTATTGCTCACATTTGTAAATTTCATAATTCCTTCACAACACATTGAAATAAAAACAGTTATTATATAACAGAATAAAATATTAAAAAGAACAATATTAATAATCACGGGGCTTATAAACCTAAACTCATCATAATTAATTATTATTTTAAATAAAAATGCTGAATAAAGTGTAAAATGTATTATTTATAAGAGAATTTGTGTATATAACTTCATTTTTAGAGTCATCTCTAACAGCTGATAATATAATGTGCTGTTTGTACAGTACTGTAGATCATACCAACCTCAGAATATTGAAATATGCCTTAATTAAAGAGAATAATTAAATTTTAATGATTTCTCGCTATTAGTGTGCATATAATAGGCCCCTTAATTAAAGTTACATAATTATATAACGAAAAGCGAATATCGCTAATTAAGATTTCAAAATTCAATATGAGAATTGTATGAAAACCTTTCTTATTAGAGGAACTTCACTTGTTCATCTTTATGAAAATGAATTTTAAGCAGTTTTAGTGCGTGTATTTCTAACAATACTGTATAGTGTACACGGCACCTGTAAATAATGCGAAACGTCTGAAAAATGTAATATTAAAAAATACACACTATAAAACCGTTAGTCGTTTTATTATATAGGAAATATGTTTTATTGCTTATCATATTTAAAGAAATAGAAGTATTAGATAGTATTATCTAGTCAAAAATTAATTGATGTGAAGAATCGTTTGTATTTATGTATATTTCATAATGAATTAATTAAGTAGCGCTGATTCGTCCTATCAGATATTGTTTGAAAGTTTAAAACATTATCAAACATCAACACCCTTCACTTTTCTCCTTTCTATTTTGTCTGTCTCCATTCTTAATAATCTTTACAGGCATTAAAATATTACAATCCAAACTATTGTATTAACAATTTCACATAAATAAAATAATTACATAGAAAATTAATTAAATGACTATATTAAAATAATTTCGAATTTATGTGACTTTAGAAGACTAATTTGGAGAAAAATCGCCGTTTTAAAAACAAGCAACATGATTCACAACTTTGTTTATTGCGAAATTCTCCGATTACCGAACGCAGCTCAGTTGACAAAATATACCGATATCTGTTCTATTATAAACATCCTATACAAAGACAGTTCTGTGTTACAGATTTAATGAGTACCCTTTTGCACAGATCGACCTTGAAAATCAGCCATACTTTTGTAATAACAATAGTTGTAATACCGACTATAGTTATAGTTTTCACATCTATATTATTATACTTGAGCAATTATCAGACCACAGCTCATGGAGGTATACAATACTGTAAAATTTCTGGTTTTACGCCCTTAATGTGTCGAATTTTAAGTTCAAAATCCATTGTTAAGTTCTTACATAATATATTAACCTGGTGTACGTTCGATTTTGCATTTAACTTTCAACACTATGAGGTATACCATTAGCTATCAATCGAAATGCCCAGTTTTATTTATGATATTTCATTTACACATTTATAAGCAAATAAAAATTATTTCAATAAAGTTCACTTTCCGCTAGCAACATTTTACTATAGAAAGCGCGACGACTGATTTTCAAGGCCACGATATATTACGATCGAATGGTCCTTATCGCGTATGATTAAGGTTGAATTTAGCGTGGATGCGCGGGCAGTAGTTCTACATAGTTAGCGGGGAACAGTCCGAACAGTCCGTGGGGGCCGAGCCCCTGCCACCAACCCGCGTCTATTTGTTCGATGTGTGTTATTATATCACCCGGATCGAATGTTATCTCTGATTCGTCCGCTAGAAAAAAATATATATATACATAATAAATACATGAAAAAATAAATCACCAGAGGTCGGAATTAGGTAGAGTTATTTATGTACTGGCATCGAAATGTTGATATTAATGTGGACCTTCCCGGGATTTCTTTATTTCTTCTTTCTTTCATTGATGTAAGTTTGGCAACGTCGTGCGTGCAGTAGTTTAAATTGTGTAAAAGTAAATAACTTTTTATTTAAAAAATCACGGGATTTTTCTGCTCTTTACAATTAATCTCAGGATTTGAGGCATATCCACTTTATTCTTTCGCTGTATGAAATCAGTGTAAGTACATGAATAACTCTACCTAATTCCGACCACTGTAAATCACTCATCTGGAAACCGACTGACCCACGATACGAGCGATACTATACAATACAAATGTATTTCGATATTATGTATCTATTAGAACAGCAGCAATTTTAAAATCGTTCAAGTTCTTTATTTATCAGTTGCTGGTGAAATTGACAAATTTCAAGTAAAAATCATCATCATCAGCCCTTTTATGTCCTCACTCAGGCCTTCCTTATCCACGCTGGCCCAATGCGGATTGGAGGGTAAAGCTACATAAAACTATATAAACTTTTAAACTTTTGTATTATATTAGATTGTATAAGACGGGTATTACCGCGATAGATTTCGATAGTTAGGTTTTTCACCTACCTATATTTCCCGTCTTAAACAATCTAAAACGGATACTGTAATTCCATGAATCATGACATTAGGAATCAAGGGCCGCCAGCATTGCTGAACTGAAGATCTATAAAATTATGTATAATAGTAATTTATTATTCTAGGTATAAAATAGCACCAATAAATATAACGTTATTATACCCAAGTCTTCGTACATTCGTGTGCCAAGAAAAACCTCGTTTTATTTCCACCACCACATGTGTAGATATGGATCAAAAGAATAATAATGGCATCCCGCCCTTTTGATATTTGAATTTTGAGCTTCATGTGGTGCCGAGAAAATAGTAGTTTATGCAACTATCATATAAGAAGGGGTATTAAAGTCTGTTTATCATAAGATAATAGGTTGAATCAAGTGTTTTAATACCTAAGTTATATGCAGTTTCATACACTACTTTATCTTCACTCATAGGAAAAATTGAAATTAAACAAAGTAGGTAGGTTACAAGGAAGTAATTTTTTGGAATCCCAAATACAGACACACGATCGACAAAAAAAATATATGGGAAGCGCGGGAAATTAAGTTCAAACTACGCATGCATGCGCCATTTCAAGGTGTCGCCATCTCTGAGGTCCCGGGTTCGATTCCCGGTCGGGTCAATGTAGAAAATGAACTTTTCTATATTAACTCGGGTCTGGGTATTGTGGTACCTTCTTTGTCTCAGATACTCCATAATACGGGGGCTTTAGCTACTCATCTTGGAATCTGAGCAATGTATGTGATGTTGTTAAAATTTTTTTTTTTTCATATTCAGCCTAACACCATAGACTAGTTTCATGAATAAAAAAAGATAGCGGTACTATAATGAGTTTTATTGTTATGTTTATACTACTATAAAGTGTGTATTTATAGAATCGTCTTGGAACTCGCCATTAAAATTTTTCCATTTGAGTGTAAATAAAAGGTTTTTCTATAGATCGAAAGTATTGAAACGAAGTGTTTCAATACCGATTATCCTAATTCAGACGTACAAGCATAAAATTTTTCTAACTACATAAATAAAAAAAATCTTACCCGCTTGGTAATCGTAAAGCGCTCTCGCCGTCAAACCGGGATCATCATCCAGATCCTCGTATATCGTACCCTCTTCCTCCATGCCCTCTGGAGAAACGTCCTCCGATGTCGCATTGCCATTCTCTTTCTTGTAATTCACATTCTCTATAACCGTATTCTGTCTACTCAATTCTGACTTCTGACTCTCTTCTGCTATATTATTCTTACTGTACGGAGATCTTTTGATGGTACTGAACTTATTATCACTGTCATCGTCATCGTTTTCATTCGAACTAGAATACGAAGCGTCGAACATATCGTTCTCCAATATATTCTGTTTTATCATCGGTTCACTTTGTTTCATGTCAGTTTCTATCTCTCTATAATTGTTCTCGTTTCCTTTGAATTCGGAATAATTTATTGCACTGAATGAACTCGGTTCCGTTTCCGTACTAGGACTTAAGTCTGCACCCGGATCTATTATAGGTTCGTACTGTATCTGCGAGGGGCTCTCGAGGCTCAGTTTGATTTTGTCTATGTTCTTCAATGGACTTGTCTTCTGTTGATCTTGTGGCTCTTCTTGGAGGGTCGCGTTGGCTTCTGTTGTTTTTGCTACTGGGATTTTAACGGGCGAAGTCGGTTGAGGCGATTGGTTTTGTGCTTGAGTGAATGTGTTGATGCGTTGTGCAATCACTGAACTACGAACTGGTTTTTCTGGCACATTCGCTGTTGTCCTATAATTAAGAAATGAATATGAATATACATCATTGTCATCGGCTTATTAATGTACCCACTACTGGGATTCATGCCTTTCCGACAAAATGACTAAACACAAAAGGAATTGTCTTTGCAAACGAGCGACACAAAAACACGTTTTATACGATTACGGCTATAATTCTCCCAACTTCGACTTCGGAAGAAGGTTTCCTTTCCTGCGAATTTCCTTTTGTGTCTAGTTTTGTCCCTTCCCGATGGATTGAGCCAGACCAACGGCTTCAAGTACCTTGCGTTAATTGCGTTCACGGAAGAGCTCGATATAATATTTTTTTTATCACCCATACTATCCTGCAATGGCGCCACTTATCTTCTAAAAGTCTAAATTTGATATGTAAATAAAATTTTTAATAGTCTTTATCGTTCATTATGCCGGCAATGAGGAAGTATTAAAAAATATATTTCCTGAAATCAAACTAGATGTCGCTACGGTACGTTCTTGATTTTTCCATGACAACAACTCATATTCTATTTGTACTCTTTAGTATTCGTGTTGATATCTAAGTTTCGCACTTTGCAAATTTAAGTTTTTTAACATGTTAGTTAAAAGGAACGAAAATGACTATGACTGAGCCGCTACCTAGTGAGATACTTTTTTAGTGCTTTCTATATTTTTTAAATACTTCCTCATTCTGCTGGAATATGACGCAGAAGGTGGAAAACCTATTTACGTTTTAAAGTGCTACAAGGTACATACCTGGGGCCTTTGACGAGTCCCTGAACAAGGTACTACTAAACAAATACTATATTCAGGAGAACCACAAGGCACTTACCTCGGGCCGTACATTAGCCCCTGAACGAAGTTCTGCTGGAACAAGGCGCACACGCTGCTAATATCTATGTATGTTCAAAAGTCCCACAAGGCACTTACCTAGGGCCGGCGATCTGTCCCTGCGCGAGGTTCTGCTGGAACATGGCGCGGGCGGCGGCGGTGGAGGCGCCTATCAGCTGCCTCGCCTCCGCCGAGCGCTGCCGCCGGAGCGCCTCACTCGCGCTCAAGCCAGTCGGGCTAGTGGCTTCAGGTACGACCGCCCTTAGGGAGAAACATTTTTTATTTAAGACTTAAATCACCAACTTGACTACTCTAGATATATTTTCCTGGTTTATCATCATGCTATGAGACTACGTAACTATAATCAGATTTTTTCGTGATATTGACGTGCTGAGAATCCTTATCTTTCCCATAACAGCCTACGCTATGTTTTTTATGTCCGTTGCGTCTCTTTGCACGTTTGACATTTGCCAATAGAGTCAGTAGTTTAGCTAGTGTATTTGAATAATGATCTAGCCTACTTTTATATTTCTTGAGGATCTCGGCGATTTCTTCCTTGATAGTTTTCTTTCAATATATAGATGTTGATGAACCTCTGTGTCTGTCTGTACGCTTGATAAGAAATCAATGTCATCATATCTAATACCTTAATTTATTATCTACATTTAAACAATTGATATATCTTACTTATCCTGTTCTGCTTTCGCTCTTCTTGCTGCTTCCAATTCGTCCCTTCTTCTTACATCCTCTTCCGCTTTCCTCTTTTCCTAAAATAATACAATCCTTACTTATTATCAATCAAAATCCTCTAATGCACGTGTTTCAAATATTTTACAAGCAGTTTTAACTGAGTAATTTAAAGGGCAGATTTCTATGTACGATTCATTTTATGTGAAATATAATTATTCATCACATAAAACAAACACGACGTCTAGACTTACTGTATGCAAATTAAAATGTGCAAATACAGAGTAATTTGTATTAGATAAATGGAACAATCAATCACTGCTATAAGAAAGTAGAGGTAAAAATGTAAAAACCGACCTCTTCTTTCCGTTTCCTCTCTGCTTCGACACGTTTTTTCTCTTCCTGTTCCTCTTTCATCCAAAACTGATCACGTTCTTTTGAATTAATTTCTTGAACTAAAAATTAGAAAAAAAATATAAATTAAATCAAACCTTTTAAATTGGTATCTACATTATTTTTCAAATGCAACCCATTAGATTATGCTTTTGTGTATAAATTGTACATAGCAAATCCTTTATCTACCGCTCTTATGTTATTTTTAATAATTATTATAAATGTTCACATAAAAGAAATCACTCTATTCATTAAAATTTGTGTCACAATTCAAGGGCGTTATAAATGTCTTGGTAGATATAGGCGTAATGAGAGTCTAAATAATTCTAACTGTGTAAGAGTTTTGTATAAGACTAACAAATAATTGAAAATCTATTATAATTTGTACCTCTCTTCAAACTACTTCTGCGTTCTTTTATATCTTCTGTATATTTCATCACAAACACAAACTCTTCATTGCTCACAGCCGGGATTCCAAACATTTTTTTTTAATCACACAAATTAACAAAATTCTATATCACAAGTATGAGTATCGAATGATCAGTCAACTTGAAAATGTGTTTACAAATATAATGTGTTGTATGCGCAAACTGATATCTCTTGTATTATGTCATCGCCAAATAGTTTATAAACATTGTTGTTGTTTTATTATGAAGGAGGAAGGTACAAACAGAAGGAAACATTCATAAATAATAGTAATTATATAATAATACTTAAATTTTTGGTTATATTTTATCTTAAGGTGGAATAGAATGGTTTCAATTTGTTTAGTTAAAAGATCGGGCTAGTATTGTAATTTTAAAACGTTCATATGATCATAATTAACCACTATCAAACAAATTTTTTTTCAAAAAAAACAAGATAAATAAACGTATCCCGCGTAAACAATCTGTCACGTGACATTTCGAACAGTTACGTCACATTTCAATATGCTTAAGTAATGGTTGCACTCGCAACAAAGACGTTTAGTTTATTGAAATGTAACGTGGTACTATACTCCGTCATGCCCGACCGCGTCTTGAAGCTTATAATCCACAGATTATAAATCACAAGTTAACTTTGCAAATGCAAAACACATTTTCAAATATTATTGCTTTCACAACACTATATCAATATTTATTTTTAATCCAAAATCTATACATTTTAACCCAAATCTCAATTTAGACTCAAACACAATACAAGTGACTGCTCTAACCAATCAAGCAATGCTGGAAACAAAGTTTCTCTAATAGATAATAAGATTTAATGTTCAAAATCAGTTGCAGAAATGTCAAATTTTTAAAAACAAAGTTATCAACTTACCTGGATTAACCTTTTTGTAGACAGTTCCAACTGGACCACTAGAGGGCAGATCTTCAGGTTTACTTGTTTTAAAATTAAATGCCGAACCTGCTTTAGCGAGCTTCTCTAAAATAAGACGTTCTTCGAGATCATCTTCTGTTCGTGCATGCATTGTCAAATGGAACCCAGTAAAAAATTGTGCAACATGCTTGATGTGGTTCGCGCAGGTACCTTTGCGTACAGTTGGCGCTCCCTCACCCTGAAAATCGTATTAAATTAAAATCTAAGTAGAAAATTATATTAGGCTTAAACAAAAGTTGCATAGCGTGGACTAATTTAGACGTGGGCAAAGTTGCATCAGGAACATTCCTTTCAGTACCTGCAGGCCCACATCATAACTGAAGCCCTGAAGGATCTCTCAGGGTGAGATCAACAGTCAGCAGACCGGGTTTGACAGATTAATCAGATGTTCTATAATCCACAGAATATCATGTTTTTGGGTTCCTAAAATAATCTAGATTATCATAATCATTATTATATTTATCATTTTGAGTGTAGTGGTCTTTGATGGTAGTTATATCAAAAATGCCCCAAAGTCAAGGTGGAGCGTCCACTTCTAGTTGTACATTAGATCTTACTTTTACGTTGATGAAATTTAATTGACATTTGATTATGATTATTAGTCTAATTCCTTAATTGTTATAATTTCTTCTGCATGCCAGTTTCTGGTAAATATATCTGTTAACTAGAAAATAAATTGTAACATCTTGTACTTTCCATATGTATGCAGAAATAAATATATTATTATTATTTTTACTATCAATGATTTTCTAAGTGGTCCAGATAGACCCCCTGGGGTTCACGAGGGATTCAACAGGGGTCTATGTTTGCGTGAAATAAAAAAAGGTAGCCAATTTCCATTGTTAGATCTTCACATTTTAGACGAATTATGGGAATATGGTAAAAATGTAGCAGCAGGTGGTCAACCAAAACCAGTAAAATTTTAAAAATGGTTGACGAGAAGAAATATTTGAGAACCTCTGCATTAGATCATATGCAGACTATGTATAATTTGTGACAACCTAACTAGGACAAATGGACCTTGCCTGCCCATCTGTGACCAGACCGATGGTAATGTACACACAGCAAGAGACATGCAGTCATGTCGTTTTAGAACACTTGACCAGTTTGATTGCCTATGTTGCACTACAGTATGCAAATTTCTGTATTGTGGTAGTATGTTTCATACAAAGGCAGCCAATTTAAAGGCAACATTCCATTCATTATGTTATTGGCAATCTGCTGTAAACCAACATATAACTTTGAATGACTGTTGCCTAATTAAGGTAATTAAGATCATATAATTTATGAACAACAATGAATCAATAAAACTAACTGGACATAGTTACTCTCCACCATACCCATTAAACTAGGTTTGCAGTGCATCAGAAATGAGAAAGGAAGAGTAAATATTTAAATTATCAAAATATTAGAATATGTAAGTACATTCACACTTCACTTCACCTTTATCATAAGAGGCTAGGATGCTTTATAACTTGGCAAACTTTTGATTGATAATATATATAAATAAACAGAGGTTTCAGTATATTAATTTATTAGTCATATAGGGTAGCTTAGTCACTGCATGTTTAACTCTGTCTAAAAATAAATGTAAAAAAAAAGTAATTTGAAATATATTATGAACAGACCTTATTGGAAAAATTAAATGAACAATATAAATTATATAACATAATATTTTGTACACTCCTCAATTACTTCTCTTTTCCAACAGAAACATGGCTTAAAGTTAACTATTCAGAAGATAATAATGATTTTTTAAAGCATTTTTCATTTCAATTATAATATGTCACATGATAAGTATTGGAATTTATTGGGCAACTGTTGAAATTTTCCTATTGAAGATTGCTGTCCATAAATTAACAAATGTCCATTTCCTTATAAGGATAATAAACAAAAATACCGTTAATAAAATTTAAGTTTTAAATCGATGACAACATTGTATGTATTTCCTTATAAAATTATTACAACAAATCATGCTCCTTCGTTTTAAAATCCTGTAATTGTGACACAAGGTAAATAAGACAGTCTAGGGGCTACTGTTAATACAGAAATGCTGGTTTCACATGAGTGCAAATTTGTAAGATAGCTGGAGGCAGATGAAATTAAATTTTTCTTTACAGCTCATACAGTGACAAGGACATAATTCTGAAATTCTGGCGATTTAACAAAATTTTCAATATAAAAAGAACTTTCAATATAATTAAAGGCGATCAACACTTCTATTAGAATAAAATGTACCAAAAGGAATTTAAAAATTCATTATATGTTAACTACCTCACACATATAAAATCCAAATCATCAGAAAACTAATGTCACTAATTTACAAGATGAAAAGAAAATTTGTTTCATCTGCTTCCTTCAGGTCTGATAAATGCAATCACCAATAACCATGGTTCATTCATACAGGGATTAGTAACATATATGCTATAACAATTAAATTTTACACTAAATAAACACTTAGATAGTACATAGTAATACTTATACCTATCTTATCTTTGTGTTTATCTAAATTTATAGCCATCTTACATTCTTTCTTATTCACATAATCAAACACTTACCTGCCAATTGATAAGTACATATTTTGATATGGTCCCATTAGGCAAATCTACTTTTAAAAAGGCATATTGAATCTTTCCACTGTTGAAATCATCTATCAATTCGGTCAAACCACCATCACCTTTGCTTACAAATTTCAAATCATTTGTTAATCCATCATAACCAAATAATGCCCTGAAAAGACAAAAGCTCTGTAATGTAAATACAATAAGTTGGAACTTAAAAGTACCTTCAACTATATTATTAAATAAGGGATTCAAATTCGTGATATTAACCATAAAGCTTCACAATGAAGAAATTAAAATTCACAACCTTAATGGTCATGTTCAGGAACAATAGTTAAAATAGGGCGGATAAGGCGGCCCATATGTAATTACTAATGAATGCAAATGACCATCAGAAGTGGCTGTTTATTTAATTTTGTCTGCAAGTAGGTCGGTGCTACGAAAGCATACATACCAATTTGTTTCAGTTTTGTCATCTAGTACATCCTTCCAAGCTGCGATAAGAGCATCTTTGTGTTTGTCTAAATTTATAGCCATCTTACATTCTTTCTTATCGCTATTTAAAACGAAAATTATTAGAATTTTGAAGAAGAATCCAATAGCCTACCGCTTTGGTTGACTCACAAGTTGACAACTACATACAGACCAACTAATAGTACCGATTTCGGAAACTCGATTGTATCGAATCTCAATCTTATTGAACTCGATTTTTGATTACGTGAATCGTTTTTGCTACCCAGAACGATCTCAAGATCGTCGCAAAAGAAACAGTACGAAAAACGATCATTATTGTCTATAAATAAATTATCTTTAATTTTATTCATTAACTTAGAAAACAACAACAAACGAAAATACGAATAACGATCTTTAGGGTGCTTGTGCACTACACTGAGTTTTCAAATCCGGCGGTCCGATTTTTTCCTGTCCGATATTTCAGGCCATATGTAGGTAATGCTAGGTTTTTTAAGGTCCATGATGGCGGCAATGAAAAACGTGTTTATGCTTGTGCACTGCTGTGTTCGCGATCCGGAAAATTCATGAGCCTGCGAAGTAGGCTTGGGAAAAAAATAATCGATTTATGAAAAATCGATATTTATAGTAAATATCACTGCCTACGCCTTAACAAACTCGATTAGTTCTAATTTGATAATCGTATGGTTATAGTATCGATGCTTTGCTAAATTCTAGAATCATATTAAAAGTAACGATCCCAAAACAATATCGAATCAAAAGTATTAATAACTTAAGGCAAGGCAAATAAGTGTTGGCACGCTTCCACGCCTAAACAACTGAACCCATCTTGAGAAAGGTCATAAGCTACCTTTTATCGCGAAAAAGAGGTGAAAACAGGGGATGAACGTTTGCATGGAAATTGGTCAATATCAAAATTTGCTTTTAGGCAATTGATAGATATAAATAAATATTTGATAACAGAAGTAATAATAAAGAATAAACAGAAGATAAATAGAAGTAATTTAGTGATTCTCGATGTCTTTTTTGTAGTTATTGTAATAAAATTTTGAAATGACTGTTCGTGTCATAAATAAATTAAAAAACAATAAGAATTCTAAAAGAAAAATAATCCTGCTCAAACTATGAAACTACACCACGCGTATAAAATTATAACTATATATTACCTATATATACAGTCAACTGATCTCACAATGATTATAGTCAAATCATGACATTTAAAACTTCCAATAGGATAGCTGATTTAAATGCCATTGTAAAGTTCATTTAGCATATTAACTCTCCGCTTACTTTGGCACTAATTTCGATTTGTTTACGAATTGGCGCCAACAATTGGTCTATCTCTGTAACCGCTTGAAGTTGTTTTTACAAAACTTCGAAAAAAATAGCACATTTATAAATTTGAACATCAAGTACTAGAACATTATCAGTCATTTTATTCTAATGTCACAGATATTTTTAGCTGTTGTATGTGAATAATGTTGTTTCCTAAATTAATAAAGGTATAAGTTTTTACGTCTAATAGTAGTGATCCGATAGTTGTAAAAAAAATGCTTTCGTCTTGTCTCAATTTATTATGGTTTATGTAAAATGATCGTCGTTATTTAGATACCTTTCTACGTCTTCGCACGTAGAGTAACAAAGCAATAATTACCGACGTTCCAAAAATCTCATTATACCTAGCGTAAGTGACTAGTAGCTTCAAAGAGAGCTGCCCTACACTGCGCCGCTCCGATCACGAAAAATACGGACAAGTGCACAAGCTCCTCATCCGGGTTTTTCATGTCATTCCGGACAGCAAAAAATCGGACCGCCGGACCTGAAAATTCAATGTAGTGCACAAGCGCCCTTATTGTCTATAAATAAATAATCTTTAATTTTATTCATTAACTTAGAAAACAACAATGAACGAAAATACACTTTTATGTTTATTATATTGCTGAAAGTAGTTATAAAAAATCAAATATTTTATGCTCACGTGACCACTACTAACAGTGACACCACTAATTGACGTGACGCCCTTCATACTCATATCATAACTTAGAGAATTCAACCTTATGCATATATCGAACTATAAACGAACGATATGAACTTTTCCAATTTCAGTTTTTTAATATGTTAGTTGAAAGGAATGGAAATGACTGTCTTTGGTCCATTCGTTTCCTGGAAAAATCAACTTTTGCTAGAGTCGCCATCTAGCGGAAGTGCTTTTTCAGTGCTTTCGTTTTTTTTAAATATTTCCAGGAAGCAGAAACCGAATGGACCAAAGACAGTCATTTCCGTTCCTTTTAACTAACATATTAAAAAACTGAAATTTAAAAAATTCGTAACTTAAATATCAATACAAATACGAAAAATTACAAACAGAATACGAGCTGTTTATTGAGTTTTGAAAACTAATTTACTTTTAGTAAACAAAACCGGAAGAGTTGTCATGGAGAAATCAAGTAATAGTAGAGAGTAAAAATAAACAAACGTTTTTATTTTACTTTTTTAATGAATATTGATACGAACCCTTCGTGCGCGAGTCCGACTTGCACTTGGCCGATTTTTTAGCAATTAACCTAATAATATAATTTTTCTGATTTTCATATACGTAGTTACAAATTGAATACTTTTCATGTACCTAGTTAAACGCTATAAAGGCTAAGAAGCAGTGTCACTTATACATTTAAATATTTACCATACTAGGTGTATTTTTATTACAGCTGTAACAACAAATACTAAAATCAGAATAACATGAACCAATTTTTTACCTGCTATATACTTTTATTTAAGTTAATTGTACAGAACTCACTGTATGCGAGTCCGACTCGTACTTGGTTTTTCTTTTCTTTGTTGTATTTGTTAAGTGATGTGTGTTGTCAATAAGAAATAATATTCCATTAAATTCTATGAAGTAATATTATTGAAATTATTATTACGATTCAAATTCTACAAAAAGGTGTAGGTATAACCTTTTACATACCTATGTAGAATTGTTTGCATTATCCATTTCCTCAACTTTATATTGCCACTTGCGTGCGCATATCTTTGAATACCATAAAAGTTGACTACCAAAGGTACTTTCATCTACTTAACACACGCTAGTCACGAAGTAGCTGCCTCAGCGGATAAACGCTGTGACGCGATTTTTTGTTACAAAATCGCTATGGATTTACGTAAACGTACAGAAACAGATTAAAATTTCTTTTAGACAGATATACGGTATGTGGGTGGATTTAAGCGCTCGCGAAAAATACAGTTACATGACGCAAACCAACGGATCATTCATACCGGGGTGAGTAGATACCTGTATAAATAAACAATTACCTTTTTTCGTTTGGCTAAATTTGTTGTGGTTTAAAATATAAATGTCTTAGGTTATATTATAATTTTTATTGGCTCCAAAATTTTTTTTTCTAAACCATTATTCCAAGTAAGCCCACAGAAAAAATTGGCGGGAAACTGCGACAAAGATTAATGTCGGAACGTCTGTCGACATTGTTTATTGCTAGGGAAAATTCTGAAGTGATTCGATTACACAATGAAAGACGGAATAAAAGTTTTTTTAATATTCGAAATACGTCTTTATCGTCATTCAAAACATAAATATGATTAAAATGGAATGATAGGAATCTTGTCAATTTTTATATTCATCTATTTTATTGCCCATGGATCTCTTATTAACTATAACTATTGAACACTTGAATTTATGTTCAATTAAGAAATTTCAAATATTTCAATTATTATGCGTCGTCTGGTGGTCCTTCGAATCGAATAGTACATTTAGTTTTCTACAACAATTTAAAAATTCACTGTATCTGTGTGAATTTATATTTCATTTATATAATGTCATAGTCCCGCTTTTTATGTGGCTCTAGGTATTTTATTTGAAAGTAACAAAAGGCTGTAATTTTTAAGTCGAGGACACATCCTTATTATTAAGATATAATACCCTACTCTAAGCCTTGCTTTTTATTTTTTGTTTGTAATAGTATATGTAAAATGCTTAAGAAATTTGACTAAGTAGTTTATTTTTGATATCCCTTAGAATAACTGGAATTAAATACCTATCTGTTAATGTCTTTGCAAACTTTTAAACACTAGATTGATGAGTTGATTGTTATTTTTATATTACGATTGCATTAGTTACACGTACTAAGTTATTTTTGTCACATTTTACTGATAATGATAATAAACAGCTAGAAAATCTAAAATATTTCATTTTATTTTTGAAAAAAAGGCAATGCCTGACAGTTTAAACAGACAGGCAGTTTAATAAACGTAAGTTTTGTAATGTGTGGTACAGATAACTTTATCCTAAGAAAAAAATATACACTTTTGAAAATACTGCAAAAACTGCCAAAATAGTTCATATCCAGTAGACAATTCTAATAGATCTTTGAAGACCTAACCAACAGGAAATACTAGAAAACTTACGATATCTTTCTTTGGGGATGGGGCTCGAAAATCAGCAAACTGAGTTTTCAGGCACCCCTAAATATAACAAGTACCTAAAAATAAAGTTTCATTTGTAGAGCCCTGAGATTCATTACATTGTACTGACTGGGAACGGTCCACGCTTCCATTGCTAGTACATTATTACTAGTCAAGTATTCATCTCTTCAAAGAAAAATTGGTTTTATAATAAGCTGATTGTCACATTCAGACAAATTGCGATCTGTGAGTTGTTTTAATAAAATATTAACTCTTACGTATGGCACACTCTTACTTACACCTTGCACCTTTGTAATTATATATTAAATAGGGGCGGTAAGTTTGTTTGTTGCACCGTTTGTGATTATGAATGATGTGGTGTGGGTTGCACTAAAGTGTACTCGAGTCTCATTATGTTGCTAAAATAGTTTCTTCAGTTCTCAATGCAATTCAACAGTGTTATTTATAGCAACGAGTGGGGCTATTCTGTTAACGATACAGCGTCAAACACAGCGCTGTAGCAACGTGAGCAGTCCATTCAAATAAAATCTGATTTATGTAAAAACTAATGAAAGATTTAATTTGGTTCGTTTAGCGAAAATGGCTGAGTTCAAATCTCGTTTGGGCACTCATATATTTAACTTGGTTTTAACGCGTAAAGCTGTTTTTAACTGACTTAAACATAAAAAGGAATACCATATTCGACTGGTTTGAATTTGTAAGTATTATGGCGAGAAAGTAACGAAAATTATAAGTAACTACCC